GTGCCTTTCCAGACATGCAAGCTGCCCATGCCACAAGCGCTCATGCAACCCCATACCATCAGTGATGCAGGCTTTTGAACGGAACGTTGATAACAACTTGGGCTATCCTTGTCCTCTCTGGTCCGGATGACATGGTGTCCCAGTGTTCCATAAAGAACTTCAAATCGTGACTCATCTGACCACAGAGCAGTCTTCCATTTTGCCACACTCCATTTTAAATGACCCCTGGCCCAGTGCAAACGTCTGAGCTTCTGGAGGTTGCTTAGAAATGGCTTACACTTTGCACTGTAGAGTTTCAGCTGGCAACGGCGGATGGTACGGTGGATTGTGTTCACTGACAATGCTTTCTGGAAGTATTCCTGAGCCCATTCTGTTATTTCCTTGACAGTGGCATTCCTATTTGAGGTGCAGTGACGTTTAAGGGCCCGAATATCACGAGCATCCAGTAGAGTTTTACAGCCTTGACCCTTACGCACAGCGATTGTTCCAGATTCTCTGAATCTTTTGATGATGTTATGCATGGTTGATGATGATAACTTAAAAGTCTTTTCTATTTTATGCTAGGTAACACCATTCTGGTATTGCTGCACTATCTTTCTGCACAACAATGGTGGAATTGGTGATCCTCTTACCATCTTGGCTTCTGAGAGACACTGACACTCTGAGAAGCTCTTTTTATACCCAATCATGTTGTCAATTGACCTAATTAGTGTTAATTGGTCTTCCAGCTGTTCGTTATATGCTCAATTTCCTTTTTCAGCCATTTATTGCTACTTGTCCCAACTTTTTTGGGATTTGTTGACACTGTGAAATTTTGAATCAACATATTTTTCCTTTAAAATGTTACATTTACTCAGATTAAACTTTTGTTCTGCCATCTATTTTATATTACAAATAAAATATTGACATTTGCCATCTCCACATCACTGCATTCAGTTTTGATTCACAATTTGTTTAGTGTCCCAACTTTTTTGGAATCCGGTTTGTACTTTTTGCCTTTTTTTCTTCCAAGATTTAGCAACACTGAGCTCAAAATTCCCCATAAAATGTTTGGAAATATCCATCATCTTCACCTGGTTCTTCTTTGTCAGGTCGCGGGGGTCAAAGGTGCTCATGTCCACCTATCTCTAGGAGAGGCAGGGGACACTCTGCACAGGTCTCCAGTCCATCACAGGGACACAGAGACAACCATTCACTCTTACATAGACAATTTAGAGTTACCAATCAGCCTAACATACATGTTTTTGGTCTGTGGGAGGAAACTACCTGGAGAAAACCCATGCAGCACGGAGAGAACATGCAAACTGCACCCAGAAAGGCCCCTGGCCAGGATTCAATCCAGCAAACTTGGCCAACTGCTCTACCAGCTGAGCCCCCGTGCTGCCCAAGTTTGGGAACCTCATTTTCAAATTGTTCCTGTTTTTAGACAGCTTTGCTCAGACTGCTGAACCATATGCACAACTGTCTTCAGCTGTTCCTTATTCTACTGACTACCTTTACTGGGCGGCTGTGGCTTAGTGGTTAGAGCAGTCGTCCTCCAATGGGAGGACTGGGGGTTTGATTCCACCAGCAGTCACATGCTGAAGTGTCCCTGGACTAGACACTGAACCCCTCATTGTCTCTGTGTCCCATCAGTGTATGAATGTGATAAAGCTCTGATTATAGATCTAGTATAGAGCTGTATGAGTGGGTATATGAGGCAGATTGTTGTAAAGAGCTTTGAGTGTCTTGATCAGATAGAAAGGAGCTGTATGTACAGTCCATTTTACAAACATTTGTAACTTCCTGACATGATCGTTGCCGTCTTCAATTTCAAGATCACCTTTTTTAATATAATTTTCTAACTTTCAATTTAATTTCTTAGTTTCAACATTTTGATGTTTTACACATCCAACTTGCAAACCCTGTTAGTTTTTACTCCACCTGTTGAGAACTGAGGATTTATTCTATTGCATCATCACCTGACAGGAGTCCACCGTCCTGATTGCTGTGAAGCTGTGAGAACGAATTGGCTTAAACACCTCCGTCTCAACCCCGAACGTGTCTCCGCGGGGACACAGGCCCTGAAGGTGTCTCCGCGGGGACACAGGCCCTGAAGGTGTCTCCGCGGGGACACAGGCCCTGAAGGTGTCTCCGCAGGGACACAAGCACAAGACGACGTGTGGGAAGTGCTGCTCATGAACACATGTTCACTTTCTGCCAGCAGAGAATCTCTCCTCCAAATATGAACAAAAAGACAGAAACATGCATGGAATGGATTTGCCATCTTTAATCTTTTAATTTAATTAATAAAAGGAGTCCCATTTGAAGAGGACATGAGGCGGGGACATGAGGAGGTAGTTACATTACAGATGTCCATGGTATTTACAGTGAACTGTGCAGGTGATGAGTGAAAGGCCAGACGCCTCTTTTCATTTTACAATCTTTAAAAGCAGGAAAAGTGACAATTAGCTTCAGTCGTACCAAACGTTTCAGTGTAAAAGCAACTAAAAGGTACAATAAATATTTAGTATCAAAAACAGCCAGTGTTCACACCTTCTGAGGAAAAACCCACTTTGACAAAAACCACGGCTTGAAAAAATACTGTCAACTCTGCTGCAAACCTTAAAACGTACCAAAACCTTCACGCGAACACGTTTCAAAACGTTAAGTTTATAATGTACAGAGGTGAGATCAGAACTGTGGGACAGATTTGTTTCTTGTGAGTGTAAAAACACTGACATGTGGTCCAACTTCAGTAAAACCCTTAGCCGCCCGCAGACAGGACGACGTGGAGGACACATCTTTTCTGACGGGACGTATTTACATTTATGAACAGATTCAGGGACACCAGGTCTCTGAGAACAGGGCGACCAGGACTGTCTCACGGCAAACTGGTGCCAAAACCTTTTAAACGCCACCCTTTAAGATTACATTTCTAAATAAGAGGATTTATTCGACTTCAAATGTTCCCGTTTTCTGGCTGATAAATACACGTTCAGTTTGTTCAGACGGTGTTTTGGGCCTGAAAGGTTGTTTCAGCTGCACCAGGGACACGTTTTCTGCCTCGTTGAACTCGGAGTGCTCGCAGCCAGCAAGCCGTGCGGGCACATTTTTGAATAATCCCAGCTTTTTGTTTCATCATCATTTTATAAAACCAAAATTTAATAATAACCTGTTGCAGATAACTCTCAGAACCATCTCAGTTTGGAGAAAGAGTTTTATTCTGACAGGACTGATGAGACGATGGCTAGTCTGAATGTAGCAAACACCAAAGTGGCTCTAGGAGGGAGAGCTGTGTGCTGTGCACAGGCGCTAAATCATTAAAAAAAATTCATTTTAAATAAACAATCCATGCCGCTCGTGCGGCTCACTCCATCAATCTGCCAATCGTGTGTCATGTACAATCTTATGCTGAAAACCCGCAAAAGAGCGAATCAGCAAAAGAGCGAGTCCGCAAAAGAGCGAGTCCGCAAAAGAGCGAGTCAGCAAAAGTCGACCCGCAAAGTAGCGAGGGACTGCTGTGTATAACTGTGAAGACTGAAGAGACTCAAGAGAATCTTGGCCCCACAGGGACAAGCAGTTAGCTCACCGACTAGCGGTTAGCTTACCGAGTAGTGGTTAGCTCACTGACTAGCAGTTAGCTCACTGACTAGCAGTTAGCTTACAGACTAGCGATTAGCTTACAGACTAGCGGTTAGCTCACTAACTAGCGGTTAGCTCACCGACTAGCGGTTAGCTCACCGACTAGCAGTTAGCTCACCGACTAGCGGT